ATTAGACTCTAACAACTACATAATAACTCATGATCTCCTATTAATATTTTATATTATTCTAAACCAATTATTAATGGCCCTAATAAACACTCATTAAACTTTAAAATTATTTAACTTTTTATTTATCTCAGCTTAGTAATCTTAGCCATTCTAATATTATATAGCCTCATATAATTAGTAATAGAGGTTAGTCATTAGAATCAATTTTATCTTAGTATTCTAAATACCAAATCTTTAAAAAGCAACTTAGACAATTAAATATTATATATTTTAAATAACTTTGCATAGCAGACAACAGTACCTTATTAAATTAGAAACATCTTTTATCTAGACTTTTATACTTGCCTAAAGAAAGAAAACTCTTTTGGTTTTCTTACTTAGAAAACACAATTCTAACACACTCTTACTACTAAAATATATTACTATACTACCAATCATTTAATCATAACCTTTATGCCTATTATACTATTAATATATATAAAAAACTTACAAAATCTAAACTTTGATTACTTTCATATCACAACAAAGAAATTATTATTAAAAAAATATAAAAATACTTCTTCTATAAACTATTACTTTATCACTTACTAGACTTCCAATATAGATTTAAACTACTCAAAATTCTATTCTCTACTCTTACTAAATACAAATGATGTACAGAATACTATTTTAATTTTTACAAAATTAACCAAACTTGTATTATTGAAGTTTTTGTAGTTATTTTAACACAATTTCTTGGCAGAACCAATTCCAAACACTAACTCAACCTCAATGCAAACTACTTAAATCTTATCTGCTTTATGGCTATTAAGCATCCAATCCATATTTCTTCTCTATTTATAATTTCTATTTCTAATTCAATTGCTTTTGAAATTTTTATTCCAAATGAAACTATTAATAAACTTATATCTATCCTTTAACTTAACTACTCTTATCAACAATTATTATTTTATACTAATGGCTTAGTAAATAACATTGATACTGATCAATGCACAATAGGTATTGGTTGGATTCAAGTTGATAATAATAATCAAATTATTAACTTTTTTTCTGCTAAAATACAATTCTGACTTTTATTATATAAAGCCAAGCTTTTTTTAATTATTACTGCAATCTCAACAGCTTCATGCAATTCAGTAGTCAATATTTTTACCAATTCTTAATCAGTAATTTCCAAATTTAATAATTTTTAAGTTTACTTAAATTATCCTAATAAGTTATTCAAATTCAACTTATAACCTATTTGGCATACTTTTTCTAATATTATTAAATTACACAAACTACAAATTATTTTTCACAAAATGCAGGCTTATTTAGATAATAACCTTAATGAGCAAACAAACTTTCTTGCCAAACAACATTCATTATCACCACTTCTTTTATTTAATTATATAAATCTTTATAACCCTTATTATATTTTTTAATAGAAATAACTTTATGTAGAACTTTTTACAAGATATTTCATTAAACAAATATGTAAAGCCTACATATTAGCTATATGGGCATCGCAAAAACATAATAGTGAATAGTCATACTTCAATTAGGATATTGACTAAAGATCCACTTGGCTTTATTTTAATAATTATTAAAAACCTTTATACAATATTACTAATTTTAGACTTAATTAACTAAAATTCTTTAAAATTAAAATCCTTCTTAATGAGTTACCAATATACCAACTATTTTATACTATTTATCCAAACCAATATTCAGATACTAATTGCTTTCACTATAACTTAGCTAACTCTCATTCCTACTGGCATATTTGTGCTAATGCACTTTTGTTCAACCAAATTATTTAAACATTATTTTTAGCAAATTACCTAATCTTGATATTTATTAAAAAAATGATTTAATTCATAAAATTCTTTATCACCCAGCTCTTAATTTTTTATACAACTTATCTAATATATTTTATTCTAATCTTACTCTCAAAAGACTTATTCCAAAGTCATTCATATTAATAGTTCAAAACTCTAACATATCTTATAAAACTTCCTCTCAAGTTATTATTAGTATTCTTCTTAACAATTATGAAAAACATATTGCATTCATTTCTCTAACTAGAAAAAACAACAAAATAAATCCCAATTTCAACTAATTAACAAACTCTTAATATCATCTAACTCAGCAACTAGGCATATATGTTTTTATAAAAACTATACTTAATTATGCCTTTGCAAACTTCCAAATCAACTACATACTTACTCTAACATATGCTCTCCTATTGGCCAAGCAATTTATAAAATTAACATTTAGTCTATTTTATAAATTAAATACAGCATATCATCAAATTATATACTAAACATTCAAATCTAAGTAAGCTTTGACCACTCTAATAGGTTTAGGTTATAGATAAATTAGTTTGAGCTTTTATTCTTGCATGTAATTTTCAATTTATTTGTTTTGTACAAATAGTAATAGCTGTATAGTTAGCAGTTTAATGGTTAGCTTTAACTGCAAGCATTGACTTCAGTCATAGTATATATACATATAACTATTTTAAATTATTAATAAAAATATAAGCAAAACCTTACCTTAATACTAAAAAAAAAAATTACACTTTTTTTTTTACTTTTGATTTTTTTTTCTTTTTTATTTTCAATTTTTTTTAAAAGGTTTAGTCAATAAGGATATTTGGCTTTATTGTTCTTAATATTTTTGCAAAAAGAAAATTTTTTTAGAGATAAGAAATATGTAATAGTTTAATTAAATTCTACTTAATATATTGTTTAAAAAATCTTAAATAAAATTTAATTTATTATTGGATGTATGCATGCAAGATTACTTATATCTGAGTATTATACAATAAAATATCTGAATATATGCATTAAATAATATTCAGATATTAAACACAACATATATTTGGATATTATATAATATATATATCTAGGTATTATATATCGAATTATATTCCTTTTTATATAAAGTATACCTTTAAGTATAGTACTCTGAGTATTAGTTGCAATTTGGTCATAGAATGTATTATATCTAAAGTACTGTGATCAGTACTATATAATACTATCTTTGTTTTGCAAAAGACATCTTTATATTTTATATATATTTTTTAAAAAATATTAAGAGAATTTCTATTTTTATCTGGGTTATAATCACCTATCTAGTAAAAATTCTGGTCATATAATTGATGCTATAATCTAGCCAATTATAGCATAGCAGGCTTTTATTTTGATTAACTAATTTTTGTAGATCATCTGATAAGATTACAAAATCTGATTGGCTAATAGAAAATAAGCTTATAAAAAAATCTTAGAAATTATTAGACAAAACAACATTTTTAAACTATAAGTTGAATTTACAATTACAATTTTAACCTATTGAACTTTTATAATCATTACCAAATGCATATCTGGTTAGACTTAATAAAAAAAAATCTTTAAATACATATATAAATAATCTTTAGTAACAAGATCACTTCATAACTAGTACATCATTTCATTTAATAAAGAGATAAAGAATGAATAATATAAGTAAATTAAAAAAAGCTGCCAACTATCAATAAAGTTAATACATGCACATAGCAGTATAAAAACAAAAAAAAACCAATTATAGAACATAACATGTAATTGTACAAATCCTAAGTATACTCTATATTTATATCTAATATATTATATATAACTTTTAAAACTTGATCAAATAATCTATATTAAGAAAAAAATATTAAATAAATAAACTGTAAATATTGTTGTTTGAATTGCTATTTTCAAGTTTTTTTAAAAAAACTTAACACTTATTAGCCAGAGTACAAATTACCTTGCCAATTGCTGAATTATTTTAACTTATAAAACAAAAGTGCACTCTGTCTCTAACTTCTGAATTAATTAACTTTTCTTCAGATTAATTTAATATATTATAGAGTATAAAGTATAGTTTCAGAATTTATATGCTGCATTCTTGGACAATTTGTTTTTATGGCTGCCAATTTGTTTGAAGTCAGCTGTTATATATTGTATAATATATGATAATACATTTAGTGATTGATCAATCAGAATTAATGCCTGCTATGCTGCCAATTATGTCTTATCATCAAATATATAATTAATACTTTTGACTTGCAACTACAAAACATTAATTTTTACTACTCTTATGCTTACTTTTTTTAAATCATTTAATTCTCTTATGTTTAAAAAATCTTTTAAAATTTTGATGAATAAATAATTTGTTTTTTATAAGTCTAAATTCAATAGATATTTGAATAAAAGTATGGTATATGAAAGATGCTTAAAGTCTTGTAGTTAACTTTCTATTCATAAGTGCAAATTATTTAACATTATATATAGGTTGTATATACAAATTACTTTTTCTTAACAATATACATTTATAGAGGTTCAATTGTACTTGATATTATATTTAGTTAAAGAATATTATCAACTTATAAGAGACACAAATATGTATTATATATTTATAATTTTGTATAACAATCAAAAATAACAAACTTATATAAATGCTAATCTACAATAATAAGAAAATAGCTTATATATATTTGTTATAAACTATTATATTGATAAATTTAACCTAGTTGCTATTATAAAAAAAATTAAAATATATCAATTAAAATCTTGCATTATAAGATATAATAAATTTTTTAATTTTTAATTTTAAAACTTCTAAGCAAAGGTACAATTGGAAGTAGTATTTGTCACTATGCCTAAGAGTTCTAAAATAAAAAATTGTGTTTTTGTTTTTTTTTTACCTTGGATAAACAACTTTTAGAATTGTGTCCAGTGTCATTGCAGATTCCACATATATATGCTCTTTTAGAAACATGTTCTGCACCTGTCTTATTATATTTTGTGCTTTTTAGTCTTTTTTTTATCTTAATATTTGTAGGATCCTAGATATCAAACTTCTTGTAAAGAATATTTGTTATTTAACTGATTTATAAAAAGAGCTAGGCTACTATTAATTTCAACATGACCAACTCTATTAGAAATTACTTCAACTTCTTTAAGCAAATCAGAAGTGCATCAAACTGTTAATTGTTAATTAATTGGCATATCACAAGCTTCATAATTTTCAGAAGATAATACTTCAACTAAAAAATTATTGTTATTTGTAAAATAATACTGCAATTCAGATTGTTCTTTAAGTTGTTTTTCAGATTGCTCTTTAGGTTGTGTTTCTGGTTGTGTTATATTATTTGTATTAATTAGTCTAACTATCTAACAGATGTTGATGTAATTAATACTTATAGATTTTTTATTAGTAATATGGATTGCAATAATATGAAAGCATGATAAAAAAAATTAAATATTATAATTGCAATCACAAATCAACCCTATTTCATTTTAATAAACTATGTATTTGTAATTTTTTTTAAAAACCTTAAATGAATTATCTATTTGTTTTTTAATATTATAAATATTTGCTTTATTATATTGTTTAATTAATAATAAATAAGTAAAATTTAATATAATTGCAGAAACATTTTTTAATATTTTAGAACATTGTTGATATATACTTCTATATATATGATACTGCAAATATTGAGATCAACTCCACATGGTACAATGATATTATCAAAGAATTTACTATTACTGAAGTGACTGAAACATTATCTCATCTCCCAAATAACAAGGCTTGTAGCCTATCTGGCATCAGTTATGAAATGTTAAAACATGCAGGCATACTCTTTCTTCAAGCAATTACAGCTTTTCTAAATAGATGTATTACTTCAAACCAAATTCCAAAGCAATGGAAAGAGGGTAGAATTTTTTCAATTCCCAAAAAACCTATCTTTGACTGCAACCTAATCAATATCAGGCCTATTAGCTTTCTTAAATATGCCAAAAAATTATATACAAAACTTCTTACAAATCGCTTAAATCAAGTACTTACCAAACATGAAATCCTATCACCCTATAATTATATTGCTCTGTTAGGCAATAGTACAACTATACCTATATATATTTTAAATAATATAATCGAAGATGCATCATGCAACTCCAAACAACTTTGGCTTATATCTCAAGATATGAGCAAAGCATATAACTTAGTTAATCTGAATCTGTTTGAAAAAGCACTAAATTGTATCAACATGCCACTCAAGTTAGTCAATATACTTACTAATTTACTAACAGACCATCAAAACAAAGTAATCATCAACCTTGGCCTAACCAATCCATATACAGTCAAAAACAGAATAGACCAGAGAAAAACAATAACTCCATTATTCTGGTGCATTTACTATGACTCCCTTATTCACAGAATTGCATCCCAATATAAAGGTTACTCATTATCTACAACTTGGAAGACCTACCTTCAACCATCTAGATTCCAAACTCTTTACACATCTACATCAGTACTAGCTTACATGAATAATACACTCTGAATAGCAAAAACAAAACAGAAACTAGAACAAATTATCCAAACTGCCTTATCCTTCTATTTAATGGCCAATATTCAAATTAGTGCCACCAAATCTGTTTTCATTTCTAATTCACCTACATCTAATATTCAATTCTCTAACTTTACTCTAGAATCTATACCCGCTAACCAACCATTTAAGTTTCTAGGTTGTTAGTTTACACTTAACAACAAACAAACTGAACAAATCAAAATCATTCGAGAAGAAATTCTTTAGCTTACAAACATTGCTAGCACAAAGAGAATTACAGATAAACAAATTATTTACATAATCAATACAGTTATTATACCTACACTTGAATATAGATTACATAACATCATTATGCCTCACTTGACATGTAACAACATTCTCACCAAATACTTGACAATAGCCAAACACAAATCTCACCTAGCATGCTCAATTCCCAATAGTACTATACTTAACCCATACTTGTACAATATTTACAACATATAGGACATTCAACTTCAACACTATATTACTAACTTCCTACTATGACTCAACAATCCTAACTTACTAGGAACCTTAACACGAATCAGATTACAACAGCTCCAAAACAATCTATAGTCAACTATTAACATACTTCAACATCCTAATCCTATCATTAATGGTCCAAATAAACATACACTGAACTTTAAAATTATCTAATTACTAAAACACTTAAATATATCTATAATAGCTAATCTTAATATTTTATGACCAAACACCATATTATATAATCTTCAATCATTAAAATCAATTTTATCCCAACACTCTTAATACATTAGCTTTAAAAAACAAATCAGAAATCTCAACATTCTATATCTTGAACAGCTCTGTACAACTAACAATACTGCTTTACTGAAGTGGGAACATCTTTCACCATGACTGTTATACTTACCTAAAAGCCAAAAACCATTATGGTTCATATACTTAGAAGACACCATAATGGCTTACAACAGTTTCAGAATCCTTATTCCATATTAACAACAACCAAAATATAATTCATTCACATACAGTTCACAACATATCTCAAAAAAATATAAACCCTGGTTACTTACATATACTGACAATGAAATTATTATTGGCAAAATCCGCAGACATTTCAAAAATACTAATCAAATATCTATTACACACT